TGCAGTGGTCCGCACAACTAGTTATGCAAGCCAACGGTGAGAAAACCAACAATCTCTGCGTGCAAAAAAGCGATAGAGATGTAGAACCCCGCAGTTACGGATAAGAGTGAGGGGGCGGGCGCGGGGTGGGTCGCGGGTGGGTCGCGGGCGAATCGCGGGATGGGTCGCGGGGTGGGTCGCGGGGTGGGCCGGAGGAGGAGGAGGAGGAAGAGGGGGAGGAGGAGGAGGAGGAGGATGATGGTAGGAGGAGGAGGAGGAGGAGGAGGAGGGGAGGGAGGAGAGGAGGAGGAATGGAGGAGGAGGAGGAGGAGGGGAGGAGGGGAGGGGAGGAGGAGGGGAAGGAGGAAGGGGAGGGAAGGGAGGAAAGGGAGGAAAAGGAGGAGGAGGAGGAGGAGGAGGAGATGGAGGGGGAGGAGGGGGAGGAGGAGGAGGAGGAGGATGGAGGAGGAGGAGGAGGAGGAAGAAGGAGGAGGAGGAGGAGGATAGGAGGAGAGGGAGGAGATGGAGGAGGAGGGCAGAGGAGGAGGAGGAGGAGGAGGAGGGTGGAGGGAGATGGAGGAGGAGGAGAGGAGGAGGAGCGAGGAGGAGGAGGAGGAGGAGAGGGGAAGGGCGGAAAGGGAGGAAAGGGAGAAAGGGGAGGAAAGGAGGAGGAGGAGGAGGAGATGGAGGGGGAGGAGGAGAAGGAGATGGAGGAGCGGAGGAGGAGGCGGAGGAGGAGGAGGAGGAGGAGGAGAGCTCATCGAGGCCCTGCCCCGCCCCGCCCTTCGAGCGGGTCTTCCCCCGCGCCGCCGACCACCGCGGGCACCGCGGCGCCGGCTGCGAGCGCGAGGCGCCTGGCGCGGCGCCCCTCCGAGGAGGGCTCGGCGGCGAGGGTGAGGGCGAGGGTGAGGGCAGGGGCGAGGACGACGACGCAAACGACGACGACGACGACGACGACAACGACGACGGCGACGACGACGACGACGACAACCACGACGACGACGACGACGACGACGACGACGACGACGACGACGACGACGACGACGACGGCAACCACGACGGCGACGGCGACGACGACGACGACGACGGCCTAGGTCACCTGACACCACCTGACGTCGCGCATCGCGCCCCGCGATGCGCCATGCGCAGTAACCTTCGCGCCCTCGCACCAACGCGGCGCGGCTGCCTCGGAGAAGGGCAGCTGCTTCGGCCTGGAGTCGGCGATACATCTCCGATGGATCGGAGATGGGCCTCCGATGGCGAGTGGGCACGTTCGCGGGCGGTGCGAGCTATCAGGGCCCCTATCTGCGATGCATTGAGGGTCCATACATTCCCCCTTGAGCCTCTCTCCCCTCAACATTGTTCCTGATCCTCTCATCAGAATCAGCTCCTCCTCCTCCTCCTCCTCCGTCTCCTAGGCCTCCTCCTCCTCCTCCTCCTCCTCCTCCTCCTCCTCCTACCTCCTACCTCCTACCTCCTACCTCCTACCTCCTACCTCCTTACCTTCCTTACTCCTACCTCCTACCTGCCCTACCTCTATGCTCTCTCCCCCCGTCCCCTCCTCCTCCTCCCCTCCTTCCTCCTCCTCATCGTCATCGTCATCGTCATCGTCATGTCATCGTCATCGTCCTCTTCATCGTCATCGTCATCGTCATCGTTCATCGTCATCGTCATCGTCATCGTCTTCGCATCGTCATCTCATCAGTTATCATCATATCATCTATCATCTCATCATCATCATCATCATCATATCACATCATCATAATCATCATCATCATATCATTCATACTTCATCATCATCATCCTCATCATGTTCATCATCGTTATCCTCCTGCTCGTCTTCTTTCCTCCTCCTCCTCCTCTCCTCCTCCCCATCCTCCTCCTCCTCCTCCTCCTCTTCTCCTCCTCTTCCTCCTCCTCCTCATCCTCTCTCCTCCCCTCCTCCTCCTCCTCCTCCTCCTCCTCCTCCTCCTCCTCCTCCTCCTCCTCCCCCTCCTCCTGAACCGCCTCATCCCTCCTTTTCTTCCCTCCTGAGCCAAGCCGCCCAGCTTCGCGTCTCCCCCAGGTCCTCCTCGGATCTTCGCGGCGCGCTGCGTGGGGGCACCGAGTCCATCCTCCAAAGTTGGGCCACCCAGCTTCGAACCTCCTCCGGGGCCTCCTACGACCATCGCGTGTGGCGTGGGGGGGGGGGCGAGCCCACCCCAAAAGGCTCGGCCACCTGCAATCGACGGACACGTCGCCGACTGCTCGGCAACGGGCCCCCGATGGGGGGGGCACCCAACAATCATGGACATGTCTGGACACCCAAGCCCCCGATCCGCGAGGAATGGACGGTTGTCGGGCACATGCTAGTGTGGATTTCGGATCCGTAATTCGATGTGGCGCCTGGGCGCCAGATCCGCTGATCGGGGACGGCTGGTGTGGCGACGGAGCGCGTCGACTGCGCATGGAGACAAGAACGTCGCCAACCCGCGCGCATTTCTAAAGATTGGGGGTCGATGCTTCCTCCCCCCCCGAGGAGAGCGCAGCGAGGCGGCGACCAAGGCGGCGGTGGCCAAGGCGCGGCCAAGGCGGCGAGAGCGGACGACGCAAGGGAGGATGACAAGAGAGAGGAGGAGGAGGAGGAGGAGGAGGAGGAGGAGAGAGGAGGAGGAGGAGGAGGAGGAGGAGGAGGAGGAGGAGTGAGGAGGAGGGAGGAGGAGGAAGGAGGAGGAGGAGGAGGAGGAGGAGAGGAGCGGAGTGAGGAGGAGAGGAGGAGGAGGAGGAGGAGGAGGAGGAGGAGGAGGAGGAGGAGGAGGAGGGAGGAGGCAGGAGGAGAGGAGGAGAGGAAAAGAAATAGGAGGGAGGACGGAGGGAGGAGGATGGAGGAGAGGAGGAGGAGGAGGAGGAGGAGGAGGAGGAGGATGAGGGGAGGGAGGAGTAGGAGGAGGAGGAGGAGGAGGAGGAGAGTGGAGGAGGGGAGGAGGAGGAGGAGGGAGGAGGAGGGAGGAGGAGGAGGAGGAGGAGGAGGGGGTGGGATGGAGGAGGAGAGGCGGAGGAGGAGGAGGAGGAGGAGGAGGAGGAGGAGGAGGGGAGGAGGAGGTAGGAGGTAGGAGGAGGAGGAGGAGGAGGAGGAGGGGGAGGGGAGGAGGAGGGAGGAGGAGGAGGAGGAGTGGAGGAGGAGGGAGGTAGGAGGAGGAGGAGGAGGTGGAGGAGGAGGTGGAGGGGGAGGAGGAGGAGGAGGAGGAGGAGGAGGAGGAGGAGGAGGAGATATGATATGAGGGGGAGAAGGAGGAGGAGGAGGAGGAGGAGGAGGAGGGGGAGGAGGAGGATTGTGCTAGGATTGTGCTACTTAGGGCTTACGCAGATGGAGAGCACCACGCAAGCCGCCTTCGCCGTGCAAGTTAAGACTTACAAGGGCTTCCCTGTGGATGGATGGCGGCCCTCCCACAAACGCGTCAGTCGACTCTTGGCCGTCCGAGCTCGGGCGGGCTTGCAGCCCTCCTTCACAAGGTTCGCCCACTTACACTGAGCGTAGGAAGCGCATCGCCCGCAGAAAACAAAATTGGGGCGAATCACGAGGTGGTGTCCTAGCCCCTGTGCCTTAAGGATGCGTGCTTGTCGGGCTTCGAATTCGACAGATTCTGCGCCCGACGGCCCGCTCTGAGTCTGGATTGTGGCCCTGGGGGCGCGACGGTCCCTGAGGCCCACAGACGGGGAAGGGGGAGGCATCAGAGGAGGAACAGGATTCGACTCGGCGGCCTGACTCGGGACAGGTCCATTGATGCTGCTCGGTTCGACATCGGTAATCGTATCGACGACTTCGGACGACATTGCGCCGAGCCTGACTGCAAACTCCAGGGCATCTGCTACCATGGTATACTTCTGCTGATACGCCTGACGCTGCCAGAACGGGTGTGCGCACAAATTAGCCCCCTTCTTCGCGCATTCGTCCGCGAAGCGGTTGCCTTTGAACAGTCCCTCGCCAATCTCTCGCCGCTGGGCTCGAGTGGCGTGGGCCTTAATTTGTATTATCTGGATGGTCCTGGGGCCCAGCCCTCCAAGATCGTTGACCAGAAACCAAAACTCTCGCCAGAGATCGCTGTGTGCCCTGGCAGGGGGCGAGCACCACTCCCCCCCCCCCCCCTGGACGTTCCGTCTACTACAGCCTGGCAGTCACAATAGATTTTGAGGGGCGGCATCGCGCTCCTCAGCACCTGAAGGATCGCGTACAGCTCTGACGGGTATATCCCTTGCCGATTTTGAGGCAGGGGGAGGGGGCCGAACGCTGAAAAAGCAAGGCTTTCCCCCGAGTCATCCAGGGTGGCGAAGCTCCACCCCGCACGCCGAAGGGGTACAAACTCACCGTGCAAGATAGATCCGTCTGTGAAGACCTCTCCTGTGGTGACTCCTGGATGTTCGCCCTCATGTTGGACCTCGAACGACACTGGCAGAACATCCAGGAGTTCGACAGGGTCCTCGGAGATACCTCTGGCCCAGAGGGATTCAAAACCTGGGAACGTGTTAGCTCCCCTCTGCTGCACGTGCCTGCCACCAACACGCCTGCGCATCACATCGCGCGCGCTGCATACATACGTGCGGTGCAAGTCCGTACATGCAGCATTCATACATGCCTGACACTGGTCGGTCGTCGCTCGACCAGCCTTAAATATTCCCTGTTGGGGCCACGTGCCTCCCGCAAGCAAGGTTCGGGCCCGCGTGCGATGCTCAGCAGTCCACTTTTCAGACAGGGGCCTGCGGAGCAGCATTCTTATTGGCTCCAGAAAGACATTCTTAGAGACATTCACCCCGGGGCCCCATCGCGCAATCCAGCCGTTCTGAAGTCCAGAATGTGTGGCCTGGCGCACAAGGGAGTGGAGGTAGTGCAAATCAATATGTGCCAAATCGTGCACCTCGGTCCCGCGCGCGACAGTAGCTGGACTCTGGGTGCTCCAACGAAGGCGAATTACAGTTGCAATGAACGCGCCTGCTGGCCCTCTCACTAGGCCCCGCGGCCTCGGATGCCCGTGGGGTCGCATGACCCACGAGCGCCAGCTCGCCACCAGGAGGTCGCGCGTGGCTATGTCCGTCGCCTCCTGCCACGCCCTGGCCCACTCCACGATGGGCCCCGCGTTGGCGAGCACGGCAGGGTCCGCGTCCTCCGCCAGCAGCACCAGCGCGGCCGACCTCCCCTTGTTGCAGCCAGGGAAGGCCGCCGCCACCGTCTGCCTGAGCGTGGTGATCAGCGTGTCCGTGGCGCCCTGAACACGTGTGCCGTAGAGCTCCGACGGCACGATCCCGAGCTTGACCACCTTCTCCGCTGCGCCTCCTGCGGCCTTGACCCGCTGGATATTCCAGCTCCTGGCCTTGGCCTCCATGGTCCTCTTGGACTGGGCTCCGACACGACGTCGCCGCGCAGCTGACTGGGTCACACCCAAATGCACGGCTTCTCGCACCACCTGAATGCCCATCTGCTTGTTCTGGTTGCCAAACTGCCGCTCCACTCTGCCATGCGAGACCGCGACTACGGTCTTGCCGCCCCTGCCTCTCGATACCTGCAGCTTGAGCACCTGCTCGAAGGCGAAGGCGATCTCGTCAGTCAGCTTCGTGTGGAGCGCCGCCGCGGCGGCCACGTCGCCTCGGGCCGACGCCGCGAGGTCGTCAAAGTATAGGCACATGTCGGCCCTCGGGTTCGCGACGTAGGTCGTCGATGGCGCCGATGAGAACGAGGGACAAGCACAGCGGGCCGAACACGGATCCTGCCACGATCCCTTGCGCCCAGAAGTTGCCCTCGGTGTAGCACCCATTCAGCACCGCTCTCCTCATCGAAGAAAATACTGACAATATGACCCGCAGCAAGGGCTTTGGAAATCCCCCGCGCAGGCCACCGCTCCAAATGAGAGAGTGCAGCACCGTCTCGTAGCACTTCCGCAAGTCGTAGTAGGTGGTGGCGATGGCCTCGCCCTGCGCCAACGACCCTTCGGTTAGGAGGCCCTGCATCCAGGCCGCTCGCTCGGCAGACCTGCCCTTCGCGGCCCAATCGTATGCTCGTGGATTTCTGTTTTGCCACTTCTGGATATCGGGGCGCCTGATCTTCTCCCATACTCGTGCGAGCTCTGGTAGAAGCCCCAAATTCCTCACGCCGCCCTTGGGCTTGGGCTGCAGCCAGAAAATAATGCACTGCTGCGAGACGGGCCAATCTGATCCGCGCTCGATGCAGTTCAGGATACTTCCCAGGCCTGCTAGGCCCACAGCTGGCCCTTGGGCCCACAGCCTGGGGTGGATGTTGGACTCGCCCAGGCCCGAGAACGCCTTACAGGAGTGCAGCGCGTGGTGGCCGAGGATGGGCGGTAGCATGGGCTCGTCCACCGCGGGCGGCTCAAACCACGGCGCTGCCCAGTCAACCTGGTAACGCCATATGCTCTCCCACTCCTGCAAAGCTGCGTTGGCGGCCGTCTGCGGGTCCATCATGGCGACGTGCTGGTGCGTCTCGCCCGCAGGGGCCGTCTCTGGAGGCTCACCAAGTCTGGGTTTTGCCTCTCTCGCGCTCTGCGGTACCAAGGGCTCCCACGGGACCTTCGGCTTGGTCCACTTGCGCAGGGCCCCCGCGGACTTCTCGCTGTGGTTGCGAACCCATGCCCGCCAGGACTTGGTGGATTCCTTGAGCTCGCTCTGCCTCGCCTCGTCCGCCTCGCCAGCCGCAACCTGCTGCCAGTGCTGGAGGTATTCCAGGCACTCTGGCAGCTCCTGCGGTTCCTTCATGCATTCCAAGATGGTCTCGAAGATGAAGGACCACGGCGTCTTTAGCTCCTCGCCATACCGGTGGAGTTGGACGAGGGCCCACTTCTGGGTCATCGCCTCCTTGATGGACTTGATGTGGACCACATCCTGGCCGCCTGCCTCGCACGAGTCGCTGCTGAGGATGTGGACCAGGTCCCGCAGGAGACTCGCCGCCCATTATGTTGCCATAGCTCGCGCCGTCGGGGCTCCCTCGCCCCTAACCGCTGGGGGCGCCAGCTCTCGCATCTTGTAGACAGCCTTGTCGCCGTGCCCACTGTGGGCCAGCAGTTCATCGCCGTCACAGCAGTGATCTGTGCCAGTGCATCTCGTAAGCGCACATGAGATCGTGCCAGAACGCGTTCAGTCTCGTGGTCGACGCGCTCCCGACGGAGAGGACGCGGCCACTGCACTGGAGGGGTGGGGCACCCTGTTGGCACGACCCAATGGCCAGGGCACCTTCTGTATGAGCTGGAGGGCCTGTGGCACAGGCGATCGGCGCCCCATCTGCATCATGACGGGCCTGTGGGGCTTGGCCGCAAATGCACTCATGACAGCAGCTCGAAGACCATTCTCCAGCAAGCTCTCGGAGACGATAAAGTAGTCCCTGACCGAGTGGTTGCCCGTGCTTCCCCTGCACGTGCCTTCGCTCTTGTCGTAGACCAGGTGCCCCTTCAGCTTGGCGATGATGCCCGTGCTCAGCAGCTCCTGGGGCGCCATGTTGAAGTCGCCACCGAGCGCCCGCGGTTGGCCTGCCACGGCCATGGGCGCTCCGAAGCGGCTGAGGATGGTGAAGTTGCGGCTCGAGGGCCCTCCTGCCACCCACAGGTGCACAGAGCCCACCGCGATGCCGTACCTACGGCACGTCTTGACGCAGCCCACACAGAGTATCCCAGGTGACTCCTTGGGCGAGGCGCCCCACTTCATCAGCTCGGGCAGGTAGGTAATCCCGATGCGGCTTGGCACCGCGATCATTACCCCGGCCCTCATGCCTTCCTTGGTAGGTGCGCTGGGCACCACTGCCGCCTTCCAGCCATATTTAATGAGCCTGGCCGACAGCATCTCCACTTGCTTGGGCGCCAGCTGGAGCTCCTGGCCGAAGACGACTGGTGCCTCGACCTGGTAGCGCAGCTGGCGCAGCCCCTTCTCGAACTGGTTGGAGGTGTTCGCATTGCACGTGATGAACACCTGTTTGTCTGCCCTGGTACTTGCACACTGCTCTGGTGTGTCGCTAGGATCGCGACAGGCTCGACTTCCGCATAGCGAAATGGAAGCCATCAGCCATATCAGCCAGAATTGTATGCAGCATCGGCCCGTGCTTCTGGACTTCATCATCCTTGACACAGGCCTGCTTGAGGGCTGTCGCGATCTCTTGGGGGCTTGCCTTGGCCTTGAGCTGGAGGACGTCCTCGCCCTGCTCCTCGGGGCCTGCACAAGCGCGTCTCTTGTAGCGTGGGCAGTCGCCGCTGAGGCTTGCCCCGTCTTCGTCCATCGGCACCGCCATCTTCTCTGCAGCGCTGGCCTTCTTCTTCGCCGCGAGCGCGAGGGCCGCCTCCAACTACTTGGTGACCTCCGCATCCTGCTCCTCGCCGTCCGTCCCCAGGGACGTCTTGGCAAGCTCCAGGTGCGCGCAGACCGAGTCCCAGCCCTTGGACGTGGGGGGCCTGGCCAGCGACCCCTCCTTGACGCGGAGGGACTCGACCTTCTTGCCCGCCTGCTCGGCCCTGTTCTCTGCGGTGTGCAGCTGAGTCTGGATGTCCTCGAGCTGCTGCTTGAGTTTCGCCACTTGGGCGTCTGCCTTTGTCTGTGCTTTCTCTGCTCCACGGAGACGGCGGCGCACGGCCACTTCCGCGTAGCATGCTGGTAGCGTTGCTTCCTTTTGTGCCAGCAGCCCGTCGATCTGTTCTTGCAGCTTCGTCGTGGCTTCCGATGCGAACTCCATGCCCGGCTCCTGCGCGAGCTGTTCGAGATCTTTGAGGCGGGCCCTGTAAATCTCCAGCTTCTTCGCGATCCCTGAGGTGGTCTCATTCGAGGCGTCGCCATCGGCGTCCTGGTGCGAGTCCTTCGGTCCATCGCCCTGCCCGTCTCTCTTGGGCGCCTGCCGAGGCTTCTTACACCAGTAGCATACTTTCGTCCTTCCCCAACAATCATCTGTGTGGCACGCTGAGCAGGTCCACACATCGCCAGACTTCGGGGGCATCTGGTTGCTCGGGGCGGCGGTGCCACTGCCAAGTTTGCCGCACCCTGCGACACGAGAGACCGACCTTCCAAAAGCGCGCGCAGTCGGGGCAATGGCTGGGGAGAGAGGAGGAGTAGGGAGGGAGGAGGGGGGAGGAGGTGGAGGAGGAGGTGAAGTGGAGGTGGAGGAGAGGAATAGGGGAGGAGGAGGAGGAGGAGGAGGAGGAGGTGGAGGAGGTGGGAGGAGGAGGGGAGGAGGAGGAGGTGGAAGCAGGACGAGGGGAGGAGGGAGGAGGAGAAGGGGAGGGGGCGGAGGGGAAGAGGAGGGGAGGAGGAGGAGGAGGAGGAGGAGAGGAGGAGGAGGAGGGGAGGAAAAGGGGAGGAGGGAGGAGGAGGAGGAGGGGTGGAGGTGAGGTGGAGGAGGAGGAATAGGAGGAGGAGGAGGAGGAGGAGGAGGAGGAGGAGGAGGCCGACCCCACAGGGGGCTCGGAACAGTCGGAGAGAGTGGTAGGGGCAGGCAAGAGAGGAGCAAAAAGGAGGGGATACGCGCACCAGCTCGGTCCTGGACATCCGCCGGCTGCGTCGTAACTGTCAATGGATGCGTGGGGTATGGCCCGAGTGCACACAGCCGTGTCCAGACGCGCTGGCCTCCGAATGCACGAGTGCACGATGCGGATACTGCCCACATATCGGGCCGCATTCGGAGCGACTGCCGCGCACGCGTGGACGCAGATGTGCTCATATGCGACTGCATCTGAGTAAATGCTGCTCGTATTTCGATAAGTCCTAATCATCAGCTACCGCTCTTGCATCGATTGGTGTGATGGGCCCTTTCTTGCTGTTATATTCCATTCGTGTGGAGCAGTACTGAGGGCCGCCAACACATGGAGCCCACCAAGCGCTCATTTTCGAACTGGGTCACGCTATCTCGAGCACGCGGACCTTCCCGTCCGCTCCGCCGATGGCCGCCATCCTCGAATTCGACGAGAAGTCTGCGCTGAACACTGGCTTCGGCATGTTGACGAGCGCCCCGAAGGCGGTCGCGGGCTGCCCCCTCTGGCAGTGGTACAGCTTCGCCTCGTTCTCCTGATTGGCGGCGAGCGCGGGGGGGGGGAAGTGAGAAAGGGCGAGCCTTTTCAGAAGGCTCGCAAGTCCCCCAGCCTTCTGAAAAGTTTCCTAAGCCTTCCCCGAAGACAAAACGAACACTTCTCAGAGGGCGCGAGGGCTTCCGAGGAGTCCCGCTGCCTCCTGAGAAGGCCTTCTCCTTCTCACCTCCCCCCTCGCCCGCCGCCGAATGTGGTTTTTGGGTCGCAGCGCGGGTCTCCGGCGGGCGTTCGTGACGATCCGGGCACCCCCAGAACGCCCTCGGCGAGGTGCAGCTGCTGGCAGGCATCCCGAGGCTGGAAAACCGCCGAGGACCGACGAAAACGTCCGAAAACCTCGCGCCTCGAACCTCGGCCGCCGCCGAGCCTCCTCCTCACTTCCCGCCCTCGCCCGCCGCCGGCCTGGGACCCGCCCGCGAGGATCATGTGGCTGGCCTCGTCCTTGCTGAACTGCGCGGCGAAGAGCATGCAGGTGCTGGGGCCCCCGCGGTGGCTCGCTCCCCGCCCCCCAAAGGCACGGGGAGCCCGGCCGAGCAGCCTGGCACGCCAGGCCGCCCCGCTTCGCGCCCTCGCGCCCCGCGATGCGCGATTGTCTTTAGGTCGGGAGCGTCCTCCTGCAGGCGGATCTTGGACGTTTTTTTTTTTTTTTTTTTTTTTTTTTTTTTTTTTTTTTTTTTTTTTTTTTTTTTTTTTTTTTTTTTTTAAAAAAAAAATAATATATATATATATATATATTTATATAGATAATATATATATAAATATATAAAATGCTCCTGAATAGTCAATAGCAACTAATTACGTAAGGCCGGAGCGCAGTATCCCCAAACAGGGTTGTTAAACCCACTGCGGTTTCCAAGGTCGATCGCGTGCCCGTCCAGCGCGGGCTGGCATGGCATGTTAGAACATGATGGCATGATGTTTGCACACGATATGTTTGCACATGAAAACATGATGCCTGCTCCCTCATCCACATAATCCTCTTTGTCCGTTCCATATCCTCCTCCTTCTCCTCTTCCTCCTCCTCCACCTCCTCTTCATCCCGAACGGCATCTCGGAGCCCAGGGTTGCGAGGATGTCTCCAGCGTCACGGGCTGGACCACCTCGCGCGCGGCATCTCGGACACCAGAGTTGCGAAGATATCTCGGGCTAAACGTGCTGCGAGGAAGTCTCAGGCGAAACGGGCCAGACCACCTCGAGCGCGGCGTCTCAGAGCTCCGAATTGCGGGGGCCTCCGCGGGCGCACCAGGTAACCGTGGCTGGAGGACCTCGGCCCGAACTACGATTGGGTCTTTCTTTCGGGCCTTCCTGTGGGGTCTCTGGGAGATGGGTTTTGATGGGTTGTGGCGTTGTTGATTTTTGGTGGCCGTGTTTTACTTGTTGTTCACATTGAGAAATCTTTGATGGGCAACTTTTTACAATTTTCGCAGACGAAATTATTTGATCGATGTGTGAAGTTGCATGCGGCTACGGCTGGCACGCATGAGATTTTGTCATGCACGTTGCCCCGCGCGTATTTATGCGTTTTCTTGGCGCGACTGCGTTTTATCCGCGCCGCTA